AATGAGTTGATTCAGATGAACAAATATATATTACATTATACAATTTAAAAAATTAATAGAAATATTTGCACTTCAAAACTTTGGTCGTGCATTAGTACAAATTAAGCATATGGTTGAGAAAAAGGTAGGAAATAACAGAATAACTAATAACATACAACAAAGTACGTTTCTGAATTTTCTATTATCTAATGATAAAAGCTGATGCACAACAAAAGTTCCAAACTAATCACAGCTGCAATTAAAGAGCTTTATAACAGTCCAGAAAAGCCACTCAAGGTTTATTTTTATTCCATGTTTCTTTTCCTTATTGAATCTCGTATGTAGTAATAGTAGTAGCTGTACTGTTCGAATGACGAATTTATAATGAGGGGATGATTACCCAAGATTACGAACTATACACAACACACCGTACGTTAAAAAAATTATAGTTCAGCAATAAGAATTAAAAATTTGCATCTTTATTCACTTCTGGTTGCTGTTTTTAATCTATATACTGGGCTAACCAGCGAAAACCTTCTCCATATCCCTGTCGTTTTAATACAGAACACATAAACAATTCTAAAGGACGACCGGGTAGATCGGATCTAGGCACTTTACCCTAAAAAAAGTACACTCAGATTAACTGATTTCCATATTGTACACACACAACTACAAAATTTCATCTCTTTAGTGCTACCTTTCCTGTAGTTTGCCCATATAGGGCAAAGAAATTCCTTAATTCGTCTTCAGAAGCTGCACCTGGAAGATCTATCTTATTTCCTAAAATAAGCACGGGACAATTTGACAGAGTTTCATCCGTCAAGAGCGAATCTAATTCGTTTTTACTTTCTGGCATTCGCTGACGATCATAGGCATCAATAAGAAAAACTATTGCGTCTACAGCTGGAAAATAGTCTTTCCAAACCCTTCGTGCTGCAATTACTCTACTAAATAAATGCCTTAATTGAAAATACAAATGATAAAATAATACCTTGCGTATGACCACCTAAATCGAATGTGGTAAATCGCATATTACCAATCGACAGTTCTTCTGAAGCTGAAATGAATATTTCTTTGTCAATTGTGGGAAAAGAGATAAAAACAACACTGTGTATACTAACTAATCTATCTTTTTTGGTAACAATTTCTTTGTAATTATTTTTTTTGCCAAGAAATCTAATAGGGTCATTATTTAAATAAATATGGGTTAAAACTATTGCTATCAATTACTTTAAATTAATATTTATCTTTTTCTGTCAAGAAATATATCAAATTTGTAAATTTTGAAGACCTTGAAAGGCAGTATACCCAAATCAATGTTATCTAATCTCAGAGTGTTAAACCTTCCTTTAATTACAAAAAGAAAAATGTTTTTTGATAATCGCTATATCTAATTTAGTATTTACTTTAAAAACTAATTTAACTACAAACATTATGCAGGCTGTTATTACTGCGAGCAAGAAATAATAGCATTATTTGTATAATTAACATTGGTAAGACACATACACATAAGAACTGTCTATATTTCTAGTCCCAAACAAGAACAATTTCTTAAATTACTGAAGGGATTTCCCGACTGTGGTCAATTAAAAATTTAAAGAGAAAACTGGGCTTACTGGGATGAAGAGTGGGAACATGTTGTGCCAACCGGTCATCTTTTAACATATGTAGTAGAGTAGTTTTCCCTGCATTGTCTAGACCCAGAAATAGCAGCTTTCCAGATTTTTTCCATAAGCCTGAACGCAACATGCAATAAGTTAAAATAGACATATAACAACTCACCACTTTTATCTGTATCTGATTCAACAGGCTCTATTAAATCATCCTCCAATAGTAACTGAACTAAACATGTTTTTCCAGAATATGGTAAACCAGCAAAAATATATTTTCCTTTACGTTTTAAACCTACTTTCAATTACATAGTTAATTTACAAATAGAACTATGTTGGTAAATGGTAAAGCAAATGTTTGCTATAATTTTTGAATGCAATCACTTGAAAAATTAGGTTAGTTTTACAAAATGATTTAGTAGGTCTGTTAAATCGTAATATAATTAATTAAAACATTAACATATAATAAAAACTTACCTAAATAACCGAGTACGCCCGTAAACCAATCCCATAAAAACATTTTCTGCAAATTAAATGACCCTTCTATTAACCCCTACGACTAAGCTAAATTCTAGAAATTTGCACTTGTGATGCTAACAGTTATCAAAATGTGAGAAGATTTGTGTATTCTACAGTAAAATTGATTAATAAATAATGCGAAAAACGTTAAACAATTTTAAAAATAAATACATTTCAATTCTACATTAATTTTCAATATGGATTATTATGTTATTAATGAAAATGAACAAACTTACGTATAAATTATTGCTAAATATTATTAAATCTGTAACACACTATCTGCTTAAACTATAATAAATAACTTCTAATTGCATAAACTGAATACTAAACCGTATTTAAGTATAAAAAGATAAGTGACAAAGTACAAAACTTGACAGCTCAGCTGTCGATGTAACACTTCCGTTTATGATACTGGCGGCAAGTTTAATTCAAATAATTCTTTCATATTTGCTTTAAAGAAAAGTATAAAACATAAAAAAATGCATAGTTATTAAATAAAACATGTAAGGCTTATTACAGCATGTTATTGATAATAAATATTATAAAATGCAAATATTTTTCATCAAGCAGTAGATAGTTTTGAAATATTGTTAATGTAAAATAAAAAAGATTATAAGTAACTTATTCAAGATTAATGTAAATAATTCTCGAAAACATTACAGTTAAGTAATGCAATTCAATCGGTATTTCATTTGTTGGTCGTTTTGTAGAATAAAAATCAATATTTAGTGTTTTGTTTACATTCAAGCCTTGAATTGTAGAAATGTCTTAGTTGTCAGTTAAAAATTGCTGTTTTATATGTTTGTAAGTTTTAGTTGTAAATTCGAAATTGAAAGATGAATAATGTCAAGGAAAAGAAATCGAAACGTAACGGGCAAATGGCCCTCTCAACCTCAGTTATTGAAACATGTTCATGATGAAGAAAATTTTTTTGGCAGCGAAATAGTTTCCAACTTTCCAAGCCCAGAATACGACAGTTTTGAAAATTTTAAAGCGAATGATTTTATAAGACAAGTTTATTTCGATGGCTCTTCTTCAAGTTCTTTAAGTGGCTACGAGGATTTTGAAACTGAGGCCACCCATAAAGTTGAGAATGAGTTGATTCAGATGAACAAGGTACTACAGAAAGAAGTACCAATACTAGACCATTATGATAAAGAAGAGTACGAACAGTGGATGCATATGTTTCCTGATGTAAGGTAAAAAGTGACAAAAAATGGTACTTTCAATTTAAGCCCAACATGAAATTTGCTGTGAGTAACAAACATCGAATTTTCGAAAAACAGAAATACAGGAAATATCATTAGAAGGGTAACAGCTGTGAAACCCACAGAATCATTAAGATTTTTTTTACCAAATTCATATTTATGGTTAAAGCCACTTACTACAATAGTTTTTTACAATTTAGTGGACATGGAATGAGAATTTTTTGTAATGAAAAAATAATAACATAGTCTTTTATCTTTGCTTGCAAATTAACTTTACGTTAACGATGTTACATATTTGCCTGTGTTTACTTGATGGAAACTCATGTTAAAAAGAAACAAAAATAAAACACCTACATAAAACATTTTCTAACTTTTTATTGTTATACTGTGGCCTCGTTAGAAAATACAAATTTATCTCGATCAAGCCATAGTATAACAAAACAATTGTTAAATGTAAAAACAAAGTTTTATGTATACTGTGCTTTGTTTTATTTTATTAATTTTTACTTGTTTGTGCTTGAAACTTGAAATATGTCTATAAAAAATGCATTAGTTTTCAATGAAATAAAAAAATGGTATGTTTTCAAAACAAAAGGATTTACAAAAAGCAAAACAGTAAATATGATGAAAAATAAAATTGTACCTGATTTTATGTTTCATCATATTTAC